ACACACACACACTGACTTACATACACATATATTACTGAAAAGTCTCATGAAACAAACATCTTTTTTTTAAGATTTTATTTATCTGAGAGAGAGAGCATGGGGTGGGGGACAGAGGAAGAGGGAGAAGCGGGCTCCCCACTGAGCAGGAAGCCCCATGTGGGGCTCAATCCCAGGACCCTGAGATCATGACCTGAGCTAAAGGCAGGCGCTTAACTGACTGAGCCACCCAGGCGCCCAAAACAAACATCTTTATTACGTGTGATGTTCTCTGATGTTTTGTTTTGTTTTTAATTCTGGCAGTTACCCACGAAATTGATTTTATAACCCCCGGTTTGAAAAACACTGATGTAGATCAGCTTTTTTAGTTTCCAGATGAGGAAACAGGGAACCAGAGAGTAATTTTAAAAAGTCCCTAAAGTTAGTGACAACACAAGGAGCTGAACACAGTTCTCTTTACTCCTGATCAATAAACAACAGAAAGAGGCTAGATCCTCCTTTCTGGCACTTCCCATATTTTCACTTTGTTTTAAAATATATACATATTAAAGCCGAATGTCCTGAGTAACAGGTTAAGTAGCTTTCTTAAATTAAATATGCCCTACCTATGTGCCTTATTTTCTAAGCTAAAACCTATATAAACACTTCTCATTAAAATATTATTTGCACTCAGCATAATCCAAATATGCTTAAAATTGTAATTGTTCATGGGTTATTCAAAGGCAAATCTTAGGGGTCATAAAATTATTTAATTTTTGTTCATCATGAAGCTCGTCGGGTTATGTGCAGACTACACATATATAGAAGTTCGGGGTCGTAGAGAAATATGGTTATCAGTTCACTTCCACTCAGTGAGCATTTACAGAGCACCACTATTATGGTGTGTGCTGGGGAAATAACAATGAATTAATAATTGCCGTGAGGAACTTACAATCTAGCCAGACCGTCAAACCAAGAGCAATAATTCAATATGAGATATATTATAGAAGATAGGAGATATCATAGACGTGCAGAGTACTCTTTGCTTAACTGCTGTAGGAACACAGATGAGTGAACAATCCATTCTCCTTGGGGATATAAGTGGTTTAGAAAGATTACAAAGGGGAGATAATATTTGTTCTGGGCCTTGAAAGATGAATAGAAATTTGCTGACCAGATGAAGGTTGAAAAGGACAGAAGGACAGGACACAATAGCATGGGGGAAAAAAAGTCTAGCATGCATAGAGGGGTCACTGACTAGATCACAGAGGCCACATTAGGCTTGGACATGTATTACACGATTAGGTATTCAGACCTTATCCTAGGGTGAATGAGTCATCAAAGGTGCTCAGTATCATAATTCTAGAAGCAATGTCGAACTAAATGGGAGGCTGTCAGATTGAATTATATCCCTCAAAAAAGATACAAAGAAGTCCTAACCTCTAGAACTTCAGAACGTGCCTTATTTGGAATCAGTCTTCACAGATGCTCAAGCTAAAATGAGGTCATTATGATGGGCCCTAACCCAATATGACTGGTGTCCTCATAGAAAGGGGGAAATTTGGACACAGACATGCACAGACAGAAGACTTTGTGAAGAGACAGGAAAAATGCCATGTCACAGTGGAGGACTGGAATGGTACACCTACATGCCGAGGAAGGCCAAAGATTGCCCAGGAAGCCACCAGGAGCTGGGAAAGGGCCGGGAACAGATTCTCCCTCACAGCCCAGAGAAGGAATCAAGTCTGGAACACCTTGGACTTCTAGCCTCTGAGACAGTACATTTCTGTTCCTCTAAGCCATTCCGCTAGCAATACTTTGTTTCAACAGCCCTGGGAAACTAATACAGAGGTTATTGAGCAATAAGGTCTGAAGTGGGTAAGAGACAATGGGCAAGTGGGCAAGAGACAACAAAGACAATGACAGTGGGAAGTTCAGGAAAGGTCCTAAATCTGAAAGATATTGCTGAGGTAATAGTACTCAGATCTAATGATTGGCTGAATATGCCAAAGGAGAGAGAGGAGATAGATGAAGCTCTTATTCCATCATAATCAACCGAATGTAGTGTCTAAACTACCTTAGACCTTAGATCCTTGTTAGATCTCTCCTGAGGCCAGGGACCTTACAGAAAGCCCCATGCCTCTTCCTCTGGCTAATGGTATCTAACTATGCTTCTGACCTCCCACTCTGGTTTCCCCAGTTTCCATTCAGTTGACTTGAAGCTATGGTCTGCTCTATCCACCTAGTCCCTGTAAACGAAGCTTCATTTGACCTGCTATTTTCCTTTCCATTTTAGTTTTGTCCAGGATACTACATATTAGATTATCCTTAGCTCTACATTCTGCTGCCTTTAGACCAATTCCATCCCTCCCTTATCCACAGCACTAACCCCTGGCCCCTAGATTCAGCACCACAAGCTCTCACTTGTCTAGGGAGCTAGAATGGCCACTAAAGACATCGACCCACCTGTGAAGTATAGGAAAAGAAAACATAGCAAGAAATATGATTTCAGGGGCGCCTGGGACGCTTAAGCATCTGCCTTCGGCTCAAGTCATGATCCCAGGGTCCTGCATTGGGCTCCCTGCTCGGCGGGGAGCCTGCTTCTCCCTCTCCCTCTGCCTGCAGCTCCCCCTGCTTGTCTCTGTCAAATAAATAAATAAAATATTTTTTAAAAAAAGAAATATGATTTCACTTTTGGACATTATAGAGAATATATTTTTGGCACAAAGGGAAGCCACTGACCAATCCTTTCTCCAGAACCGCTAATACCCCATAGACCCCATCCAAAGGGATTGGCGTTGTACATGCTCCTGTGTCCCTGGCCGTATATCTTGGTATAAACACCTGTTCCAAAGCGGGCTAACTAGATTATCTCTGGAGAAAAATGGAAATCGGTCTCTGTATGTGTCTAGGTATCTAACATGGAACTTGCAGCAACTATAGCTTTCCATATGGACTAAGCAGGAGACAGAGCTGGTTTGCAGAGAGGTAAGAAGAAAGCAGATGTTAGAAGGAAGTAAATTGGAGAGAGACAGAGACCCACGCTGCCTGTGTTCCTTACAGCTTTCCCTTTCCTTGTTCCAATCCCTTTATGACACCATCTGCATTCCTGCCCGTGGATTCTGTAAAAATACCTCTGTATCCTTAGAAGTCCATTTGTCTTTTTATATTACCCAAACTGGAGTTTGTTTCAAAGAATCCTAACCAACACAGATGTGTTGAGTCTGAAATGTGTATCCAACACCTAAGGGGAGAGATTGTTGGAAGACAGAGCAGAGGTTGAGGGGAGGACACATGGTTTGGATAAGGGAGTTACTGAAGTCACTGGAGTTCACGAGGTCATCAGAAACAGCTCAAAGTAATGGAAAAAAAGGAGGAGAGGGTAAAGAGAAGAAAAATGGGTCTCTTAAGAACATTAATATTTAAGAAACGAATGACAGAAAGAGGTCAGTAAGTAAGGTTTAAAAATACAGGAGACTAGGAGAGAATGCTTTTGTAAAAGGCAAGAAATAAAAGTATCCAGATTATCCTTACAGAAAATCCAACCATCAGGGGCTTTAACAGGGATTGACTTATTTGTCTCAAACAAGATGTTCAGAGCTCATACAACAGATCCACGATTCCATGAAGGACTCAAGCTCTTGCTCTCTCTCTCCTACCACCATCTTTAGCATCTAGCCTTCATCTTGATGGTCACAAGATGGTTGTTAAACCTTCCAGGTAGGAAGGAAAAGCAAAAGAGAAAGAGAGAAGAGAGTATGGCTGCTGGACCCTTATCAAAAAAGCAAAAGCTTTACCAAAAGCCCTACTTAAGCCTCATTGGTCAGAACTCTGTCACCTGGCCATCCTTACCTGGAGGACTAGAGGAGGACTCTGGGTAGGAGCTGGGTCACCCAATCAGCTTTTTTTTTTTTTTTTAATTTTAGATTTTATTTACTTATTTGTCAGAGAGAGAGCACAAGCAGGGGGAGTGGCAGGCAGAGGGAGAAGCAGGCTCCCCATTGAGCAAGGAGCCCGATGGGGGGACTCGATCCCAGGACCCTAGGACATGACCTGAGCCAAATGCAGACACTTAACGGACTGAGCCACTCAGGCATTCCCCCAAGCAGCTTTTTACAAAATATTATAATCAACAAAAGCTACAAGGAGGTGAAGAAGAATGACAACTAAAGATAGATGGGGGAAGCAGAGATTTGATAGAAAGTCCCTGACAACCTATCAAAAGCAGTTTCAGAGGGGCACCTGGCTGGCTCAGTCAGTGGAACATGGGACTCTTGATCTCCAGGCTGTGAGTTCAAGCCTCAGGTTGGATGTAGAGATTACTTAAAAATAAAATCTTTTTTTTAAAAAGCAATTTCATTAGGTATGGCGAAGGCTGCTGAAGACTAACTGGGTTGGTGGGAAATAAGTTCTTTCCCAATGTTTGAAAAGGAGAAAAATGGAGGGAGCAAAAATCTAAAGCATAAGGTAGAGAGGCTTTGTCTGGCTTTAGGATTGTGACTACTTGAGCATGTTTATAGGCTGAGGAGTCCAAGCAATTGGAAAGGAGATCAGAGCTATAAATAGCATGACCAAAAGATCAACTATCGGGAAAAAAAGTGCAAAATTCTTCTGGTGACAGGGGATTAAATGAGATATGGGAAGAGATACCTTTGTCTCCAAAACAAGAAAGGAAGTTATTGGATGAATAACAATAGTGCAGGTTTGATGTGGGCATGAACAAAGTGGAATTGTCGACTACTCTTATTTTTGCAAAAATACACTTTAAAACTGTTGGAAGTTTTAAAAGCCAGACCTTGAATTCACTATTGCCCAATTCTAAGAGAGGGCAGTAAGATCGCATCAGAATTCAGGTGTGCTTTATTCATATTTGGCTCCCCGACCTGACTCGGCGAGATAGGGACCCCGTTAGGATTTTTCCGATTTACAGAACGGAGACCCAGGAGACTGCGAGCTTCCGCGAGCATCTCAACATTTCGCTTTACCCCTCCTCTCCTCCGGGTTGGAAGGCCCCCAGAGGATGGCGTAATCCCCGGCATTCTTCTCACTCTTCTGCGGCACTGAAAGCAGTGAGGAAGATACCCGGTGGCGGCAGGAGCAACGGCCGAAGCGCTTGCTAGAAGCATCCAGAACTTGCTCTGCAAATTTACTTCGATTCTGTTCTTCGCTCCTTCACCTTGAGCGCGTCGGAGGCGGCGCTGGGCAAGGCTAGACAGCAGGACGGCGTCAGCTGCAACCTGCAGCAGTCCGGGAAGGGGCAGAGCCCCCAGAGCCGCTCCCGTCCACGGAGGAACACGCAACAGCACCGACCCCCGTTACGGCCTCCGCGACTCGCAGGATCCCACCCAGACTCCGACGAGCCCGCCCTCACGCCTGCAAGAAAACGATTCTCACTTTTCATTGGCTGACCCTGGCGGAGTGAGCCCTTGCTTCGCTTTCATTGGCTGCCGCGGCCGTCACGTCCTCTCGCCACACCCACCCACCCGGCGGCGCCCGGTGAGCGCTGGGGGGGAGAGATTTACTGAGGGCGGGGGCCGCAGTCGCGCCGTACCCCCTCCCCACCCACCCCGAGCCGCGGCCCCGCCCCGCCCCGCCCCCGGCCCGAGGCCCCGCCCCCGGCCCGAGGCCCCGCCCCCGGCCCGAGGCCCCGCCCCCGGCCCTGCCGGGCCCCGCCCCTCCCGCCAGAGAGGGCGGGGACCAGGCGGCGGCCGCAGTCGCAGGAATATGCTGGAAGCCGGCGGGCGGATGCCCGGGCGGTGCTGAAGGGACAGTTCCCGCCGCCAAACTTGCCCCGCGGCGGGAGGGCGGGCGGAGGGCCCCCGAGCCCGCGGGCACGTGAGCGATGGAGACCATCTGGATCTACCAGTTCCGCCTCATCGTGATCGGGGACTCCACGGTGGGCAAGTCGTGCCTCCTGCACCGCTTCACCCAGGGCCGCTTCCCCGGGCTGCGCTCCCCCGCCTGCGACCCCACGGTCGGCGTGGACTTCTTCTCCCGCCTGCTGGAGATCGAGCCGGGCAAGCGGATCAAGCTGCAGCTGTGGGACACGGCGGGGCAGGAGCGCTTCAGGTAGGGCCGCCGGGGCCCCGGGGCACCCTGGGGGCCGCCCCCTCCCCCGCGGCCGGCCGCCCCGCCCGGCTCGGAGGAGGCTCCGGCCCTTCCCTCTCGAAAGTGCGAACACTCCATCCTCGCGTCCCTTCGCCCCTCCTCTTCCAGGGACGACTTCCTCCTCCGCAATTTCTCAGTTGCTGCTTTGGCGCCCATTTCCTGCGCCTTTCCTTTCCCGCCTGAACCCGGGCCCCCCAGTCGCGGACCCCTCTTGCCCCGCGCTCTCTGCCCCTGCGGGTGTTGGGATCCCCAACCCTCCGGCACCCCTCGCCCTGCTCCCCCCCAAACTCGGCGCCCCTCACTGCGCACACCCTGACCTGGCCCCCCTCCAACGAGCTCCCTTTCTGCACCCCACTGCGTGCGGCCCGGGAGAACTGCAAAGTGGGGTTCCCTCCGGCTTGAGGGCGAGCGCCGCTCCGGCCCGGCCTGCTGCATGAGCTCACTGGGCACCGTTCAGAGAGGGAGGGGGATGCGGTAATGGTTGGAACACCTCACAGCACCGAATGTGGTCCTCAGAAATGCTGGGCCGTGTGACCCTTGGGAACGTGTCTTAGGGAGCAGACACAGGCACAGCGGGCGGGGGTGGGGTCCTCGCTTTGTTTAGTAAGGGCTGAGTTGTCTTTAGAAGTTTGTCCTCATTGGTGGTTTGGAAGAGAGAGACACACTGAGATTTTGTCACGAACTTTTTCCTTTATGGTATTTATAATGGGTGCTTAACGTTCCAGGGTGCTAATACATCAGAAAGTGCGTTCTGAATGGAGAAGGAGGGATCCAAATGAAGAGTCTCGTTCTAAATGTTCACTGAGACCAGGAAGGATTTTGCAAAGACAGCTCATGTTATGCAAATAAAAATTAAATGTAATTTGTACGCATTTCCTGGATGTTTTAAGACTGAACCGCATAATAAAGCATATTTTAAAGTTGTAGGATTTGAGGACACTTTTTTTTAGAGGAAGGTAGGAAATCTGATACACTGTAATGTTTTGGGTTGTGGGTTTTTGTTTTTGTTCTTGGGGGGTTTTTTTTTTTTGAGATTGCATTGTCACCTGAAACTCACTTAAGCAAGCATTTTGCAATCTTCATCAAGTACTCTGCTTGTGAAACGCAGTAGTCCATGAGGGGGACTTCCCAAACATGGCTTCCCCTCACCAGCTCTAGCCAGCTTCCCTTCCCAATGAGATCAGCCTCCTCCTGTGAGTGAGGATTTTCCAACTTTTAAAGTTTTGGCTTCCATTCCCAGCTACACCCGGATTCAGACAGATGATAAGTGAACTGCTTAGCTTGCTCATACCTTAGTTTTCAACTATGTATGAAGTGGAAAGATAAGGCCAGCCCCTCAGAGAGATAAAGCTTTCCTGTTAACGTTTTGAGTTGTACAAGACCTAGAATTCCATGAAGAATTTTGTTTTTCCATTTCGAGAAGCCTCTTTTAGTTAAAATAGGGTTTCAAACTTCTGATTCCTCATCTATAAAACGGGGTCATTATGATCTCTTAAGATTCCTTCCAGTTTTACCATTGTAAGATTGATTTCAAATTCCTTCCCTTGTCATCTCAGTCAGAGTTGAATCTTTAGGTATTTTGTGGTCCAAAAAAAAAGGCATTTACTAGTAGCTCTTGCTCTACCCTCTGAAATGAACACAATAAAAACATATTCTTTATGCCTTAAACTTCTAAAAACTAGCGAATTGCAACTACAAGAAACATAAGTAGTAAAATTTTATTGTATCTAATTATTTCCCAAAAAGTTGCCCCTGAACTTATTGACAAGATAGTTAAGGATAATTAATTTGTTAGATTTTAAAGTCCTTTCTGCTAAATAGATCATTGTGTTTTGTTTTGTTTTGTTTTTTAAAGATTTATTTATTTATTTGAGAGAGAGTACATGAGAGGGGGGAGGGTCAGAGGGAGAAACAGGCTCCTCGCTGAGCAGGGAGCCCGATGCGGGACTCGATCCCAGTACTCCAGGATCATGACCTGAGCCGAAGGCAGTTGCTTAACCAACTGAGCCACCCAGGCGCCCTAGATCATTGTTTTTTAATGCCTTTGAGCACATGTAAATAATAATTCGTTGTATATACATTATTAAAGCCAGACAGTACCTCTCCCATAATAATACAAGGACATTTAGGGAATGTTTACTGACAATGAGTCATGCTTTATTTTGTCTGGCTCTTTACCAAAGATATATTCATAAATACATACATATTTCAGTAGCTACCTCCAAATACTTGCTTTTCTGTTTAGCAGAATTTTTCACCATAAAATTGGATTTGAAACAGTCATTGTTAAATCATTCTGTATCTTTAAGAAAATAGATACAATTTAAGTAATAGATATCCTTACACATTTTATTTCATAGAAAGGTACTGTAGTTCATGAAGAGAATAGCCATATAATATCATTAGGAATTCATGGGAAATTTTATATTTCAAGGTTTATTATTGATTGGATATAAATTAGCAAAAAGGAATCTACTTTAGATAACTCAGGGTGTAGCTTGAAAGTATTAAGAAAACAGAACAAAATAATGAGCTGATAATTATGACCATACTTAACCTTAGTTTTCTGCCCCCCCTGCCCGAGCTTGAGATATAATTGACACATAAGTCCTTAATTTTCAGTGTTCAGATTAACAAATGCTAGAAGACAATAATTACTTGCAAAAAGTAAGAAGGAACACAAACTGAAAAGGCTTACAAAAATAGTGTATATGTGAGCATACCATAAATTGGAATGTTTTTATTAACACTGTGTTAATGAGGATGTCAAATTACTGTATTAAAGAGTCAAAATTACAGTCCCTTCGTTAAAGATGAAAATTTCTCTGTGTGTAATAGTCTCAAGGTAATTGGTCTGTGTTGGTGGAGGGACTCTGCTCTGAGCCATCATTCGGGTACCTTCCTTTTTAATTTTCTGCCAACCCTAAGATATTATCAACATCTTTGTGAACACTGTGTTCCTGCACAGGAGAAGGAAAAAGAGCTCTAAATCAAGCAATGTTTCTTTTTTTTTTTTTTAAAGTAGGCTCCATGCCTAATATGGGGCTTGAATTCACAACCCCAAGATCAAGAGTTGCATGCTCCACCGACTGGGCCAGCCACCCAGGCGTCCCAGCAATGTTCCTTTTAAGCAAGTGAGACCACTGTGGTACAGATCACTTCAGCTCTAAGTTCACTGAGAAGAAATTAGCTACAAGGCCACAGTTAGGCTGGGCTACCATGTGCCCATGAAGAAGGGAAGGTGGATCTGGCATTGTGAGTTTTGCAGGGAAACCAGCAAACACCACTTTCAAATTTTAATCATCACAGTGGACAAAGTTCAGCAGAAATGGAAGCAAGAATATTGTATAACACAGCGTTAATAAGGATAAATATTAGAAGGTTCTAGAAGTATGGAGAGCATCAAATATAGGAATATAAATTTTGAACTTCCTACAGAAAGCGCTTGAAGCAATATGAAGATAAAACGAGATAAAGAAATAGCAGTGTTGGCTGTAGGGATAGGTAAATTCAAGGCTTCAAACCAGATTTTGCCTTTTATTTCTGGTTGTCTGATCTTTGGGGTGTTATAGTTACAGCGAGTGATTATAAAGCTCAGCTATAAAGAGAATAGGATCCTCCTGGTACAGTGTTTCTCAGAGTGTGTCCTGTGTAACAGTTATACCCCTTGTGATTCTTTTTAAAAATGAATTCTGTGACCGGGTAAATTTGGGAATCCCTATACTCCATGTACCACTCTCTTAGAAATTGATATCAAAGGCTCTCAGAAGTCTTGCAGCAAGGAAGCCTGTTTAACTTTGATTAAACCATCATGTCTCAAATTTTATTTTTAAAATGTAAAAATCTGGGCTAACTCATGTTTGAAGGAATATAACCTGAGAGAAGTTCCACTGATAGAGTTGTTCTAGTCACATCCTCGGAGCAGAATCCCTGAACTTTTGAGGTGTAGAGCAGTGCAAGACCTTCTAAAGCTCCTTACAAAGGGCAGTTAATATTAATATAATTAATATTATATTAATAGTATAATATTATTATATTAACCCCAACATCTGAAGGTGGCCTCTAACACACTGAACATTCTGGGCCTCTCCCTAACCCTCCATCTGCCTTGTCATCTCTTTTTCTTTAGCATCTCTTCTACTGTGACTCTTTCTCTTCCTCTTGTGTCCTGCGTCTCCTTCAGCTGCTTATTTTTATTTTTCCGGTACCCCTCTCCTTTGTCTGTCCCTCTTCCGTTTCCTCCCACCCTCCATCTTTTTCCGCTCCTTCCTTCTCATCTCAGTGTGTCTCTTACTCTCTCATTTGGTTTTATCTATCCCCTGGCTCCCTTGTGTCTCTGCTTCCTCCTGGCCCTTCAAAACATTCATATGAAGTTAATGTTTAAAAGTGGCTTAATTTGCCTCTGAAGCCGATAATACACCATATGTTAATTAATTGAATTTAAATTTTAAAAAGATGGAACAAAATAAAAGTGGCTTAACTTATGTTCTTTGTTTTTAATTTTAAAAGCAAATAAGATGAACATTCTCTATTTCTCCTTAAGAGAACGTTTTATTTATTTATTTTGAAGATTTATTTATTTATTTTAGAGAGAGAGAGAGAGAGCATGCCCCGGAGTGGGGGGAGGGGCAGAGGAAGAGGGAGAGAGGGAGTCCTCAAGCAGACTCCCTGCTGAGTGAGGAGCCTGATACGGGGCTTGATCCCATGATCAATGAGATCATGACCTGAGCCAAAACCAAGAGTCAGATGCTTAACCGACTGAGCCACCCCAGGTGCCCCTTAAGAGAATGTTTTAAATGCCTAAACTAAATTGTTTTTTTGTGTGTGTTTTTTATTCCTACCCTTTGACTGCAGTTCATAGTCTTCAATAGAAAAAGATTTTCTGATCCTGGATCAGTGGGTTCATAACTGCATACATCACAGAGTGGAAATTGTCCGCAATTAAGTGCCATAATCATCGC